AATAACAATTGATGATAATAATAATAAGAGAAAAATGGTAACAATAAGTATATATCGTAAAGCAATAACTGCGCATACTGCATAATCGTTAAAGGAGGATTGATAATAATGCTAATAATAATGCTGATGATAATATAAAAACCCGGATTTCTTTTTTCATGTTTCAGATCGGCGACGGCAAGTACTGGAGCGAGATCTCAGCGGCCGAGAGACTGGCGGAGTACCGGGCCCAGCAGAAGGACTTCATGGGCGTTTCCTTCACCACCATCAGCGCCTACGGGTCCAACGGCGCCGTCATCCACTACCACCCGATGCCTGAAACTAACAAGCAGATCTCCAACACCTCTCTTTATCTCCTCGATTCCGGTGGACAGTATAAGGGTTAGGGGATTGTGCATTTTCGGTGATGTGTCTCTGTGTGTATATGGCTGGTTGATTCAATTTTGTATTTTCTACTGGGTTTTCCTTTCTTTCTTTCTTTTTTTTTCTCTCTCTCTGTTTCTTGTTCTCTTTCTCTCGTTCTCTCTCTCTTTCTCGTTCTCTCTTTCTCTCTGTCTTTTTCGTTCTCGTTATCTCTCTCTTTCGTTCTCATTCTCGTTCTCTCTCTCGCTCTCGTTCTCATTCTCATTCTCATTCTCTCTCTCTCTCTTTCTCTCTCTCTCTCTCTCTCTCTCTCTCTCTCTCTCTCTCTCTCTCTCTCTCTCTCTCTCTCTCTCTCTCTCTCTCTCTCTCTCTCATTCTCTCTCACCCTTCAGCCTCACTCTCTCTCTCTCTCTCTCTCTCTCTCTCTCTCTCTCTCTCTCTCTCTCTCTCTCTCTCTCTCTCTCTCTCTCTCTCTCTCTCTTTCTATCTATCTATCTATCTATCTCTCCTTATCATCACTCCAACATATTTATCATGTCTCCCCCTTGTATATCATCCGTACCATCTCCTCTGACCTCTCCTGAACCGCCCTTGCCCTCTCCCCCCAGACGGGACGACGGACGTGACCCGGACGATGCACTACGGGGAGCCGACGCCCTTCCAGATAGAGACCTACACCCGAGTCCTCATGGGCGCCATCGACCTCGCTATGTTGGTTGTTCCCGAAGGCACAGGCGATTCGGATATCGACATAGTGGCACGCAGGTAATTCTGTGATTTCGCGTCTCTTATGTTTTGCTGTTTATTTTTTTTATGTTAGGGGTTGGTGTTTTTGTTTGTTTGTTTGTTTGTTTTTGGAGGGGAATATGATGATTTCACTTTTTTTTTTACAGATATTTGTATGAAGTTGGTCTGGATTACCGCCATGGCACTGGTCACGGTATTGGCCATTTTCTCAATGTGCATGAAGGTGAGATATTGTTATTTATTATTGTTTTCATTTCATGCTCAAACAGCAATCGTACTACGATGTTATAAAAATAAATCTTTAATTTTAAATTGTTAAAGTTTCATGTCTGTGTCAAACTTGCTGATCCCTTATCATAACTCATCACAGTTTCGTTTTCGTTACTAGTGTTATACAAGTTGTTTGAGCACTTGTTGTAATCCTTCTTGTTTGCCAACAGCACCCGTACAGATCAGGATATACGGGGACGAGGAGCATAAATTCGAAATTGGCCAGTTCTTCTCAGATGGTAAATGGATTTAGAGTGCCTAAGGCCTCACGAATGAGTTGCTGACTCACTCCCTTCGCATGATTTCTTTATTTGTGTGTATTTTATTTCCATTTCCGTGCCCTACGACGTCCTCCGACGTTGAGAAAGACTGAGCCTCGATGCACTGCAGTTTCGTCGATATTTGCACATCCTTTGGCGTGACACGTGACTTTTATTTTTTGTTTACTTACTTTTAGGTTGCCGAGGCACCATGAGTCGAATTGGACTGAGTGGATCTTGCTTCTTTCCTCCATTTTTATCTATGTTTATTTTTCTTGTCTTTCGTTTTTGTTACACCCATTCCTAGCCATGTTTACACCCTAACTCTTCATTCTTGATATTCCTGTCTGCATATCTTTCACGACCTGATTTTGACGAGACCGTATAACCAGCTTCTTCCCGACGCTTGTCGCTGCACTTTTGTTTTGCTTGTTGTGTCAAAGCACGACCAAAGTGTTCGAATTACTTTGGAAAAACACTTGTTCAGTAATGTTCATTTGTCTTCTTTGTTGTAGCTTCTAACAAGAAACTTCTGCATGATTTCTTCGGTTCCCATGGTAAGTGTGATTGATGAATGCTGTTAGCACCATGGGACAAGTTATGCATATTTTAGATTACTATCATAACTTAGAATTCAAAGTCACTTACTTTGGACTTTTTTTGTTCACATTAGCGTTTGCATCGTGGAAACCTGTCAAATAATGTTCAGTTGCAAAAATATTTTTAATGTGTTAGCAGCTTAATAATTACAGAAACACTTATCAAATTAACATTCTGTTCTAATAATTACTTTTTCAGTCAACAGCTGTAACCGAAATAACCCCTTCCCACACGCACACACACACACACACACACACACA